CTGCTGTAGGTGCAGCAGCAGCCACCACCCCTCATCACCCTCTCCCCCCCTCGGCATGACCCAGAGGCAACAGCACAACACCCGTGGCTCCTCATGCAGGGTATTTACAGGTCTCCTGTGGGCCGGCGCTGGCATTTGGCACGACCCCTTGTTTACTGCTGCAGCAGCCATGTGCACCGGGTGCTGGTCCTGAGGAGCTGTGTATGAACCCAAGCAGAAGGGCCGGCTGCGTTATGGCAGCGCATGGCAGCACAGGGGGCATCCTGTAGCTCCCTCTGCATAATACAGAAGAATATAGAAGGATACAGGGAATACAGAAGAGCCCCCCGAATCCCTGCCTGGGGTAGGAAGGGGGAAACCTGGTGCATGTGCCAGGCATGGGGTCTGCATCTCCCTGGTGCTGCCTTTCTCCTCCAAGCACAGCCTCAGCACCGTGATGAGGCTGCTTTTGCACCCAAGGAGTGGTCGCATTTTGGGGATGCTCTGTATAAGTCATCCCTTGCTGCCGCTGGCCCAGCTCTGTGCCATTCCTGGCACCCTCACAACGTCTTAATGACCACAGGGCTGTTGCTCACCCCTTCTTGCCTCCACCCCCACTCCCAAGATCCGGCCCTACTGCCCCCGGGGATGTGCAGCCAAGCCTGGCCCCATTTACCCCCCGCTCTGGGGTGGGTTTGCCAGCAGCCGCAGGCAGGCAGGGCCTCCCGTACAGCCTGTCCCCTGCTTGTTTACCGCCCGGTGGCATCCCGATGGCTCAGTCCCATGTGACAGGTGCTGATGCTTCCCTGGACACCCGACCCGGCGCTGGCGTGACCGGGAAGTCACTTATAAATAGCGGGACGAGGGGCACTACCGACAGCCGAGCGCGGGAGAGAGCAGCCACCACTGTGCCGATGGATTTCCAAGCCGGCATCCTGCGGGATGGCAACCCCATGGAGAGCCTGGAGAAGCAGCTCATCTGCCCCATCTGCCTGGAGATGTTCAGCAAACCCGTGGTGATCCTGCCCTGCCAGCACAACCTCTGCCGCAAGTGTGCCAACGACGTCTTCCAGGTGAGAGGAGGGTGCCTGCGCCCTTTCCCCCCACCCCAGCCTGGGTGGGTGCCGTGGTGCTGTGGGGATGCTCATGGACGCCCTAATGTGCATCTCGCAGGCTGCCAACCCGTACTGGCAGAGCCGGGGCAGTGTGATTTCGGGGGGCCGGTTCCGGTGCCCGTCGTGCCGCCATGAGGTGCTGCTGGACCGTCACGGTGTCTATGGGCTGCAGAGGAACCTGCTGGTGGAGAACATCATCGACATCTACAAGCAGGAGTGCTCCAGGTAGGCACGGGGTGGCTGTGGCTGTCTGCCTGTGCCTTGCCCCAGTGGGGACACGGGGAGATGGGGACTCAGGGACATGGGGGATGCCCAGTTCCCGACCCCCAGCACCATGGTTGGGACTACAGGAGAGAAACTGTAGGGGAGAGATTTTCTGCTGGCCCAGTGGTCCCTGACCCAAATCTTCCTCCTCTTGACCCAAATCGTCCTCCCCCAACCCAAATCCTCCTCCCCCTGTCCAGTGGGGTTTGGGTCTCTGGGCAGCTCTAGGGAGCAGTGGGTCCCTGGCAGGCTCTGCCCCTGCTGCGCTCTGTGGCTGAGGTGTTTGGTGGGAGGGAGGAGGTGTGGGGGACAAATCCAAGCTCTGTGCATGACAGCGGGTGCTGCTGGCTGATAAGGGGCAGGGGGACAGTTTGGGGGGGGCCCATTCAGTAAAAGGGCTGGGGGGGGGGGGAAGGGGGGTCACAGGATCTCGAGGTGGAGGAGGGGCCCCTGCCAAGCTCCCTGAACCACTGTAAATATTGTTTGAGAGCCATGGGGACGATGGCACAGAGCAGGTGTCTGCGCCTGCTGGGGGGGTCGCTGGGCTGGCCTCTGGTTTCTTCTGCGGCTTAGCTTGTCCCCATGTCCCCCCTTGCTGCAGAGGGGACACTTTAGCTGCAGGCATTGGCTGCACAGACACACACACACACACGGGTTTCTTGGTGCCCCCACCCCACTCACATGTTGAGTGACAACAATCAACCCCTGCAGCCCAAGGCTAAAATTAGACACTTGTGCAGCACGCCCGGAGCGGGGCCCCAGGACCCCCCCGCTCACCGCTGCCGGCTGCTGCTGTGCCCAGTGCCACACTGGTTTAAACTGGGACTCACCGGGCCTGGGGCTTAGGGAAGCACGGAGGTCGGTGGCTCCTGATGGAGCGAGTGTGGGGTTATGCTGGGACCTGTCCTCTTCCCTGGGGACCTGGCTTTGGGGTGGCCGTGCAGCATCAGTGGGGATGTCACCACAGTGGGGACGACGGAGAGATGGGGCGGGACGTCATCGCGCAGGGATGTGACTACAGTGGGGATGTCACCCCAGTGGGGATGTCACCATGGCGGGGATGTCACCGTGGCTGCGCTGCTCTCTCCAGCAGGCCACTGAAGAAGGGGGAGCACCCCATGTGCAAGGAGCATGAAGACGAGCGCATAAACATCTATTGCATCACTTGTGAGGTCCCCACGTGCTCCATGTGCAAAGTCTTCGGTGCCCACAAAGACTGCGAAGTTGCCCCGCTGCAAACCGTCTTCCAGGGCCAGAAGGTGCCGTGGGGGGAGTCGAGGGGCGATGCAGGGAACACGGCTTGTCCCATGGCAATGTGCTGAGCTGGGGCAGCCACAAATAGCACTGGGACCTGCTCACGCGGTATTAATAGCCCCCGTGTGACTTTGCCCAGGAGACAGCCTATATTTAGAGTGGTCGTGGCCTGTGGGAGATGTGGGGGGAGCAGAGCTGGGGCTGGGCATGTCCCCATCCCCACTGGGGTTCAAGCTGTTTCTGTCCATCCATCCCTGCCCAGACCGAGCTGAACAACTGCATCTCCATGCTGGTGGCGGGGAACGACCGGATCCAGACAATCATCTCCCAGCTGGAGGACTCGTGCCAGAGCACCGAGGTGAGGAAAGGGAGAAAAGGAGCCCTCCGAAACGCAGGGGTGAAACCTCAGCCCATTTGGGTTGGCTGGGAGGGGACTGGAGCCCACGGACTAGGCAAGCCTCTGGGATGCTGCCGGTGCCGAGGGACACAGGTGGCAACCCTCACCCCTTGTCCCCGCAGGAGAACAGCGAGGCGGCCAAGCGGGAGCTGTGCACTCGCTTCGACACCCTGGCAGCGCTGCTGGAGGAGAAGAAGTTGGAGCTGCTGCAGCGCATCACCCGTGAGCAGCGCCACAAGACGGGCTTCGTCCAGGGCCTCATCCTCCAGTACAAGGAGCAGCTGGAGAAGTCAAGTCGGCTGGTGGAGACGGCTGTGCAGGCCATGGAGGAGACAGGGGGAGCTGCCTTCCTCATGGTGAGACCCCCAAACCTCCCTGCTGGTGCCCCCATGGGGTCCCGATGGCTTGGGGATGTCCCGGTGGCTGCCACGTGGCTTCATTCTGCTCTCCTCTTGCTCCCCACAGAACGCCAAGCAGCTCATTAAAACGTAAGTGCCCAAACTGGGCTCAGTTTGGTGATGCTCAGCCCTGCAGCTGGGCAGGGTTCGGCTGCAGGGGGGGGGGCTTTGCCAGTGGTACCCGGGTGGCAAGTGTGGGGATGCTCCAGCCCCTGTGGTCGCCCTGCTTGGCAAGGGGCAGGGTGGGACATGGCCCTATTCTCCCTGCCCAGGATCGTGGAGGCCTCCAAGGGTGACAGGCTGGAGAAGATTGAGCAGGGCTATGAGAACATGGATGCCTTCTCGGTGAGCCTGGAGCACCTCGCCGAGGCAGTCCGCACCTTGGACTTCGACTCTGGTAAATCAGTCCTCAACCCCAATGCCCCTTTACCAGCACCCTGATGGCACCCATTGCCTTTCCCAGTGGCTCTATGGTGACATTTGGCCACTTGTTTGCAGCTGAGGAAGACGAGGAGTACTTTGATGGGGAGGAAGAAGAGGTGGAAGAGGATGCGGCACCCGAAAGAACAGTGATGGGTAAGAGGTGGCATGGCTGACCCCCCCTTCCCAGGACCCTCAAGAACCTATGGGGGAGCTCTGGGGGGATGGGACCTCCTTTGATCCCTCCATTCCTTCCCCTTGTAGCTCCCCAGTAGCCGCAGTGGCGTTGGCAGCACAGGAGGAACGTCGCGGGTGCAGGATGTCCGCCGACGGGACTCGGGACACAGGGGAAGCACCATGGGGTCTGGTGGCCTCTCAAGCCAGCACCTGCTTCAGCACAGGACACTTTTCTATATGGGTGCAAACAGGACAATTCCGCACGTTTTGTATCTTCCTTGTTTTGTATATAATTGTCATAGATTTAAATTTTGTGTACTTTGTAAAGAAAACTGGTGTTTCGGGAGCGTCTGTTTGCTTCGCCTCTTGTTCTTGGCTTGATGGGCACTGGGGATGCAGGTGGGTTTGCCAAGCCCGTGCCATTGCTGGTGCCCCTGCCAGCACCAGGCACAGCAGAGGGATGCTTCCTGGTCCAGCACTTCATTTTCATGCTCATTAGCTCCTCTGGCAGTGCTGGCTGCCTGCCCAGGGGTGTCACAGGCAGGATTTATCTCCTACTGATGGGATGCCCCGGACCAGTGCTTGCCCGGGCTTGGGGACATGGCAGAGGACTGAGGATGCCCTGGGGTGTGCCAGTCCCCCCGCAACATGGGGATAGCCTTGGCACTGAGCTGCCGGTTTCCTGCTCGGCACCTGGCCAAGCAGAGACAGAGGCAGCATCCAAAGCTGTGCAGTCAGCCCCAGGGGAAATGGGGCTCCTCACCAGGGCAGGGTCACTGCGGGGGGGTGACATGGCTGGACATGAGCCGGCGGAGCAGGGAGGGGGTCACCGGGTGCCTTTGGAGGGGGGGCACCGGGGGACGCTCCATCCTCCCCTTGCCTCGGGGCTGCGCCCATGCCCCGGTGCCTGGCTCCTGAGGGGTGCCCGCAGCGGGTCCAGCGCTCCGGGTGCGGGGCGAGCGCTGCAGCCGCCTTGCGGCCGGCCCGGCCGTGCCCTCCCTGCTCCGGCCTCCTCTGCACACGGGACCCCGCCGCTCCACACGAGCCACAGTCGCGGTCACCCGCACCGCAGGACCATGGCAGCGCCCGAGGAGGAGCGGCACCTGCTGAGCCCCGGGGCAGGCGGGTAGGGGCGGCCGGGACCCGGTGCGGGGCTGCAGGCGGGGACCCTGCGGGCTCCGGCGGGGAGCGGGGCCGGGGTCCCCCGCACCGCCCGCGCCCTGAGCCCCCCTCCCGCAGCAGGTCCTACCTGGGGGCCGCGCATGAGGACGGGCTCGGCTCGGTGCAGGGCCAGGGCTCCGCGCTGGAGCTGGGGCAGCGGCGCAGCCTGCACTGCCACAGGCGGGGGGCCGTCGGTCCCCGCGGCCAGCAGCAGCAGGCGCGCAGGAGGCTCTACCTGGCCGCTGGCATCTGCCTCCTCTTCATGGCTGGGGAGGCTGTGGGTGAGTGGTGGCCGCAGGGTCTGCTCGCGGGGGGGTCACCAAGGGGCTCACCCTCTGCCTGCCTGCAGCACCTCTTGCTCCCATTCCCCGCAGGCAGGGCCCCCCTTTGCTTTTCAGGGGGTGAAGCATCCCAGTGGGCCCCCTCCACTGGAGCCTGCGGTGACCTGATCTGTGACCAGCTCAGGGTGGGGTGGGATCCCCCCCACTGCCAACCCAGTGTCCCCACGGCCCCTTCTCCACAGGCGGGTACCTGGCGCACAGCCTGGCCATCCTGACGGACGCAGCGCACCTCCTGACGGACTTTGCCAGCATCATGATCAGCCTCTTCGCGCTCTGGGTGTCCTCACGCCCCCCCACCAAAACCATGAACTTTGGCTGGCACCGGGCAGGTAACGGGGCAGCAGCACCCCTGGGCTGCCGTCCAGCTCCCGCAGACCCCAGGGAGCACTTGGAGCACCCCTGGGTGCCCATCCTAAGGGGAGCCCTGGGGGCATAGGAAGCCCTGGCAAAGCCCCTGCACCACGCATATGGGCAGGGAGCACCCCCAGGGATGGGTGCTGGGTGCTCACCCCAAGCCCTGGGCCAGGAACGTGCTCAGGCTTGGGTGGCAGCGAAGCAGCAATGAGGGGGGCTCTCTGCAGAGATCCTGGGGGCCCTGGTCTCCGTGCTCTCCATCTGGGTGGTGACGGGTGTCCTGGTCTACCTGGCGGCCCAGCGCCTGCTCTCGAATGACTACGACATCGAGGGTGGTGTGATGCTCATCACCTCCGCCTGCGCCGTGGCCGTCAATATCGTGTATGTATGGCCAGCTCTCGCCCTCCCGCTCCCCAACCCTGTGCCCAGTGCCCCCAGGGGTGTCACTGCTGCCCTGCCTGCAGGATGGGGGTGGCTCTGCACCAGACTGGGCACCATCACAGCCATGGGGCAGCCGGTGAGCAGCCCAACACCAGTGTCCGCGCTGCCTTTGTCCATGTCTTGGGGGACCTGCTGCAGAGCGTTGGCGTCCTCATAGCATCCTACATCATCTTTTTTAAGGTCTGGGTGGCTACTGGGGGCAAAGGGGGTGCTGGGGACACAGGGAGAGCATCCTCAGCCAGGCCTGAGGTGCCAGTGGGGATTTGGGATGAGGTGATTGTGCCAGAGGGGCCTCACCCTCTCCCACCCCTTCCAGCCCGAGTACAAGTACGTGGATCCTGCCTGCACCTTCCTCTTCTCTGCACTGGTGCTTGGGACAACGCTGTCCATCCTCCGTGATGTCCTCCTTGTCCTCATGGAAGGTAGGGACCCAGTGCGGGGGTCTGGGCCGCAGGGCTGCCCCTGGGTGCCATGGCTCCGCTCCCTCCAGCGCTCAGGGCTCTTCCTCCCCAGGCACCCCCAAAGGGATTGACTTCAACGCCGTGCGGGAGGCTCTGCTGGCGGTGCAGGGGGTGGAGGCCGTGCACAGCCTCCACATCTGGGCGCTGACAGCAGCACAGCCGCTGCTCTCGGTGCACGTCGCCATCAGTGAGTATCGTGCCCTGGGGATGGAGCCGGGGCTCACCCGCACGCCAACATCCCCTCCCCTGCTCCTCGCAGATGCCGGTGCCAGCGCGCAGGAAGTGCTGGAGGAGGCCAGTTCCCGGCTGCAGGGCACCTTCCACTTCCACACCACCACCATCCAGGTGGAGAACTACTCTGAGGAGATGCAGGACTGCCGGGAGTGCCAGCCGCCCCGCGACTGAGCCTCCCGCAGCCCCCTTGTGTCCCGAGCGGGGCTTCTGACGGCGGCAAATAAACTGCAGCACAGGGCTGGGTGTGCAGGTGGGGATGTTGGGTCTGGCACCATCGGGGCCTTATCTCGGGTGTCTGCTAGGAGCAAAGGCAAGAGGGAAGCCCCACAGCCGCAGGGAGGCCAGCAGGTTTTGTCTTCCCTGTTCCTGTTCAGCGGGGCAAAGGCAGCTCAAACAACCCTTTCTCCCTTCTTTGGGCAGCGCTGCAAGGCAATGGGGTGCCTGGAGCTGTGGGGGGAACCATCCCAGCCTGGGGGAGGGAGAACGCATGTGCTCTGCTCTCACCTCTTATCGCTCTGTTTGCCCTCAGGAATCCAAAGGACTCGCCCTTCCCAGGGGCTGAGGGCTGGGAGGCCACAGGATATTCCCAGGGTGCCCGGATGGGTGCCAACAGTAGAAGCATGGGTGCATCGACACATCAGTGCTCCCAGTGGGTACAGCCCACTCCCCAAATCCCACAGCCACCGCCAAGCCTCCACCTCTCCACCCACCTTTATTGCATTGGTAAAACCCAATAACGGTTAAAACCCCGTCAGCAGTAACCAACTGCTCTGGGAGGGCTCCATGCGCCAGGAATGGGCCACTCGGAGCCAACCCAAATCCCCAGCAGCCCTCAGGGTTTATCCAAGTGTGGGTATCTCTTGCGCAGGATGGAGACCTGGTCCTTGAAGAGGACGGGGTCGAGGCGCAGCTGGGAGGACACGAGGGGCATGTAGCCAAACCAGTCCACCAACTGGTCCAGGCAGTCCTGCTGATGGGAGAGATGCTGGCCACCAGCTGTGCCCTGCCCCTTGGCAGCAGGAGACCATGGGGGTGAGGGGCTCTGCTCCCCGGCCAGGGGCGTCCCTGCATCCCCATCCTCACGCCCTACCTGCTGGGGCACTGCCTCCTTGTGCTGCTTCCTCTGGGCCACCTTAATGGGCGGCAGCTTGGTGACAGCGGCCACGAGGATGTTCATCAGGATGTCCTCGCAGGCGGCCAGGCCGTCCACCAGCTCCCGCAGCCCCGCCGGCAGGTACTCGGTGAAGAGGCTGTGATAATACCTGGGAAGGGAGAGGGAGGGGGCAGGATGCAGCCAAGCCCTCCAGCACCAGCACCCTTCCACAGCTGAGTACCTGTGATAGAAGGCAGCGGTGGTGAGGACGATGGAGAGCTCGTTGGTCCACTTGGAGGTGTAGCCCCAGCGCCTTTGCTCAGCATCCCAGAAGTGGCTCTGTGCAGGGAAGCCCACGATGCGCTCAGGGAAGCTGCGCCACACCACGAAGGCAAAGTCTACCTGGCACGGGACGGGGGGAGGCTCTCACTTCCCTGCAGGGACCTGTGGGAGGGAGCTCACCCCTAGAGGTGTGCCCTGGGCAGGGGGACATGGACACAGCAGACACAGCCCCCTGACAGCCCCGTGGTGACTGCTGAGCATCCACAGCCTCACCTCACTGGTTGAGAGGCTGGTGTGCTCGTCCAGGCTCAGCACAGCGTCCGTCTGGATGGCTGCATAGGGGAAGAAGCGGTCACTGACCTAGGGAGAGGAGGCAGGTTGGGATGTGCCACGGGGTGGCTGCTCCAGCTCCTCGACCATGTCCCGGCTCCCTGCCATCACCCCAGCTCTTCTCACCTTGCTCCTGCCCTGGATGACAGTCAGAGGCACAGCGGTCTGGGGCCATTTCCCACTCGGCGGTGACGGCTTTTCACTGCTCCACAGCACCAGGATCTGCAGGGGGATGACCAGCGTGCCCGGGGTGTCTGCCTGGGCTGACCCATCACGGTGCATCGGTGGCCGCGGTTGAGACCCCCCCAGCCCTGCAGCAGGACCTGCTCCAGCCCCCCCGCACCCCAAAACCATCTCATGGCACCTCGGACCGGAATAAACCCCGGGTGGTCCCGCATCCACCCCAGACCCCCCTCACACCCCCAACACACCCGCACCCTTCCCAGCCCACAGGACCCTGCCCTATCCCTCCTGCCGCATCCTCGGGTGCGGTGCAGGGCTCAGCTCCCGTACCTGGGCGCAGTACTGGGATCCGGACACGGCTTGGATGAGCCTGAGCATGGGCTGAGAGAGGGACCCCGCCATCGAGGTGGCTCGGATGAAAGCCGTGAACTTCTTGGAGGGGCTGGACCCTGTAAAAGGCAGGCAGAGGGTGAGCGCTGCGCCGTGCACTGGGTCTGCCGCGCTCGGCTGGGGCAGGCAGGCTCCTACCGCGCTGCAGGTGGTAGAAGGGGAAGTCCCCGAGGTGTGTGGAGAAGTCGGGCAGGGCCAGGAGCCCCCCGGGCAGCGTGTTCCAGAGGAAGCGCGAACGGGAGCGGTGCTGAAGCAGCCGGTCCTTGATGATCTGCCAGAGGCCGGAGAGATGCTCCCAGCACCCCGGCTGTGACCCCGGGGGCTGGGGAGGGGGGGGAAGTTCGAAGGCGGGGGCTCACCTCCAGTGTGGTGTGCACGATCTTGTCCACAGAGGAGAAGTACGCATCCCACAGGAACTGGGTCTGCTGCTGGAAAGCCAGCACACGCTCCGGATGGATGCAGCGCACGGCAGAGGGGATCTGTGCCACCGGGGAAGGGGGGGGGGCTTGTTTCTCACCTCAGTGTCCCCCAGCCCCCTGGCAGGGCTGCCTTGCCTCTGCCACCTCCGTGCCATCCCAAGGGACCCCCCCTCAGCCACTGCCCTACTGCAGCTCTGTCCCCTCCTCTCCCTGGAACAGGATCTGGCCCAGGACCCCCAAGGGCTTTGGGTCTGAGATGTTCAAAACTCCCTTCCCTGAGCTGAGTGATGCTCCAGGGCTGCTGTTGGGGTGGGACCCCCTCTCCTCCAGCCCATAGGAGGGCTGAGGAGGTTTCACCCCCAAGATTGGCTGGGGGCTCCACCATTGCCATCAACACCGGGGGACCCTTTGTGTCCGGTGTGGGGCAGGATCTGGCCGCGGTACCTGCAGGAGCAGTCTCTCATTGCCCACGACAGCAGCTTTGCCCCAGTCGATGGCCTCGGCGAAGGGCAGCTCCCAGCCATCACTCAACAGCACGGGGATGCAGGCAGCCTGTGGCAGAACCCACACAGGCTGGGACAGAGCCCCCGGAGCCAGGGAGGGGCGTCCCCTGTCCCCGTGGTACCTGCAGTGCCTCCAAGAAGCGGAATGAGCCCAAGCGCCTGCCCCGGGGCACAATGCAGAAGGTGGAGTTGTGCAGCAGCTCCTGGTAGTCAAACCTGGGATGGGAGATGGGGTGAGAGTCAGGCTCAGCCTCACCTGTGAGCATCTGGGGTCTCGCTTGCACCCAGCAAGGGTGAGCATCCCTGCCAGGGGGGAAGGAGCCAGCCCAGGGCAGTGCTAGGACCAATCTGTGCTGATTTGGCTCCGAACAGCCTCAGTTCCACCAGGCCAGTGACGCAGAGGCACACTGGGTCATGGAGGGATGTGTCTGCGCACTGCTGAAAAAGGAGGGGTCAGGATCGGACCCTGGTGTCCTTTGAGGGCTCCCTCCACCCACCCGCAACGAAACCACGCGCAAAGCCGGCGCCTGAACCCCCAAGCCCGAAACTGCGGCCGCTCCTGTGCCGTGCCCGGACTTGCCGGGCAGGACCAGCCCTGCCTCCCGAGGCGCTGCGGCGGGGCGCAGGCAGCGCGGCCCCCCCCGGCCCCGGCCCCGGCCGCGCTCGCACCATGGGGCTATGAAAGCCCCTTCTGTGCGGCCGGTGGGGAGCGGCGCGGCTGCGGCCGGCCGGAAAATCCAATGTTAGGCTGGGACAGACCCCATCTGTTCTGCCCAAGGGGAGGGAGGGACGGAGGGAGGGAGGGATGGGGCAGCTGGGTCCTGGGGTGCGCACGGTCCAGCCAGCGGTGAGCATGAGGCCGAAGTGCTGCTTGAAATGTGCTGGTCCCCCAAGGGCAAGGGTGTCCCCGTGGTGCGGATGTGAGGCTGGGTCTAGCCTGGGGGTTGAGGATGTGTGGCCTCCATGGGTGCTGGAGCACCCTGCAGCATCCTGGCACCCTGAGAGGTGGGAAGTTGTCCCCAGTGCCAAGGCACAGGGGTTTACAATCAAGACCTGGCACCAGACAAACAACCCCTATGTCTCCAATGGATGCTGAAAACCCCATTAGAGCACCCTGCCTCTGTAACACCTTAGCTCCTGCCTCGGTGACCTGCCACGAGGGTGAGGGCAGCTCAAACAGGACCCAGACATCTCCCCCATCACCATGAAACCACAGCAGCGACATCCCCTGCCGGTGCTCACCCTTGGGGCCGCCCTGCTGCCACCTGCTCATGGGGACCCCAACCCCTGTGGTCATCGCCAGCACCTCCATGGGACTGCTCCCAGCTCCTGGGCTGGGGGGGGGCAGCAGGAGGAGGCCGGAAAGGAGTGGGGGGGCAGCCCAGCCGCGGTCACCCTCCCCTCGCAGGCAGGCACCGTGGGGAGGCTGGCGCCGGCCGGGCTGCGGGGCCAGAACCTCCCGATGGAAACACTTCGCTCCTGACGCGCTGCGGTTTCCGGGTAATCCGCATTCAGGGCTTCCTTGTTTTGTTAGGAGCTGGGACAGGCGCCCGCTGCGTTCCCACTCCCCCATGGCCCCTGCGTGGCTCTGGCCGGGCACGGTGCCACCGAGGAGCCATCAGCTCCGGAGAGCTTTTCCCAACCTGCTCCAATGGCTTTCAAGCTGGGGCAGCCCGCAGCAGGGCCGGGCTGCAGCGCTGCTACAAGCCACCCTTTATCCCGGCACAGAACTGGTTTGTTTTAGGCAGCCCCCCAAGGCACAAGGAGGGTGATGACTCCCAGCAAGACCTTCCTCCACTCCCCACACTGCCCTCCACCACACCGGCTCCCGCTGCCCCAGGCAAACAAGGACATCCCCATGGGGTAGCTGGGGTCTCACTTTGCCTGTCCCCATCATCAGTCTGCCTGGCTTTGGGGACATCTTGTCCCGGTTCAGGAGGGCATAAACCCCTGTGTGAGGTCGGGCAGAGCAGACCCTGCACAATGAAGATGCTGAGGGCTTTTTGCCCGGGTGTCCCATGGACACGAGCGGGATGGTGGAGACGGGGTCACGCACAAGCACGCTGTCCTGTGCCACGAGTTCCCCATCTGCTGCCTAAAGCCACTCTGGGAGGGGTGCAAATCTCCCCGCGCTTCAAACAGCGTTAGCGGATTACTTGGGCTGGGCAGAAGGGCATTTCCCAGCCCACGGACCCTGGGCATGCTGCGGGACTGACCTTGGGCTCCCTGTCCTGCCAGCCCACGGCATATCCCACCGTCCTGTGATGCCCGAGCTGCCCCAAAGCCCCTGCTAATCCCAGGGCCGGGAGCACCCCGGCTCCACTTTTACCTCCTGGCACCTCCTAAGACGCTTTGAGGATGATGCCCAACACGGCTTCTCCCCATCTGCTCCCTGGCTGGGTGGCTGTGGGATGTCCCCAGGCGGCAGGACAGGGACCTGCCTGTCACCGTTGGGATGGGATCTGTGTTTACCAGCCCTGGACCGGGCAGCTGGTGGCGTGTCCCAAGCAGCAGGACAGGGAGGCAAGGAGCCAGTGTGCGTCCCTGCAGCACGGAGCTCCCCAAACTCACAAAGCTTTGTCTCCCCCCCCCTCCCCCGTTCTCCTGCCAAGGTCCATCACACACCATCCCACCTGTGAGGAGGGACGCAGCGGTCCCCCCACCCCTCCATATCGGGGGGAGCTCAGGGCTGTTCACACTGGGATGCCCAAGGACCCACCAGTTTTGCAGGAGTTTTAGTGGAACCAGTGGGGGGGATGTTTCAGGCTCATCTCCAAGAGAAATGTTTATGTTAGGGGAGGGTGGAAGGGGAGTGAAGAAAAGCATCATTCATCAGTGTTAGGAAAAGGGAAATCATATTAGAGGTGGCTGCAGTGACTGCAGATAAGAGCCGCTCTCACCAGATTAATCAAGCTTTAATACAGAACAGGAAAGCCCTGAACAATCAGCGCCTCCCTCCTCACTGTGAAACCCTCATTATATCTGGAGACCCCAAAACTTTCCTCTCTCCCCACATCTGGACACCCAGCCACCACGGACGGGCACAGCTGCACCCAGCAGAGAGGCAGGGGCACCTGTGGGGTGTCCTCCTCAGCAGACCCCCTTTCCCACCCCACCTCTGACTCACTTTTCATAGTTGACGTTATCCTTGTCGCAGCGCGTGTCCTTGTGCCTCTCCCAGTCCTTGCCGTGCTTGCAGGTGGTGAGGGAGATGATGTCCTTCCCGTTGTGGATGTGGTGCAGCGCATTCCTGGTGCCGGAGCCGATGCCGGTCAGGTACCGCTTCCCTTTGAACACCAGCAGGTATTTCTTCTTTGGGGGGACCGAGTCCTGATACAGCCATCCCCTCTCCCCACCACGCTGCGGGTGGTCCTTAGGGAAGAGAGGGATGGAGATGTCAAAGCCAGGCCTGAAGCTCTCCGTGTAGAAGCTGGCTTTGGCCAGGATGGCCTGACCAATGTCAAAGCCCAGGTCCTCGGTGTAATTGGGCCAGGTGCCCGAGTAGAGGTTGAAGATGAGGTGGTTGCGGCCACTGTTCCAAAGCGGGAAGCCACGGATTTTCTCATCAACATCACGGATGTATTGACCCGAGAGATGGTCGCGGTCCAGCGTGTCGATGCTGAGGACGAAGAGGCAAGCTTCCTCGGGGTTTGGGGTGTAGTAGCGAGAGCGCTCAATGGAGGTGAGGATCTTGCTGTAACTCTCTGAGATGGGCTGGTCTCTGTCCCGGGGGTAGGTGAACACCCTGAAGCCGTGCTTCTCACATCTGGAGAAGTCAAAGCAGGTTTCCATCCGGCATCTGCTGCTCTTGTAGATGCTCACCTGTGCCGCCCGCCGCTCCCGGGGTGAGGGCACTGAGGGATCCCCATTGCTCTGGAGCTCCTCGGGGTTTGCAAAGCTTTTGAGGAGGGACTGATCAGTCCAGTGGGGCCAATCCCTCTGGGCTTCAGCTTTCCTCTCGGAAAAGAAAGCGAAACGGCGCAGTTGGTCCCCTCCAAAGAAGAAAACGAGGAGCCAAGAGGCGAGCAAAGCAAGGAAAATGTATTTCTTCCTGGTCTGCATAGGTTCACACGTGGCTCCAGCTCCTCATTGGGCCCGAGTCTGGTCAAAAGGCCGATGTCCCAAAAACCCCACGCGGGTCGTGGGGTGGCTCCCGGCCCGCAGGTATCGTCCTGTGGCCTCTGCAGCCCGTGGGAGCGTGGATGAACCCCACAGCCCTCCTGCTGCCCCCTCCAACCAGGGCTGCGCCGTCCCTCTCGGGCTGCAGGGCTCGGTGCCGCCGTGTCCCGCTCCCTTCCCCGCAGCGCAGCGGTTACTGAGCTGGGCCCCCGTGCTGTGACAATGACATTTCCATCCCCGCTTGGCCCAGTTTCAAATCCCTGGGGAAGGGGAGAGGTCGCGCCGTCACCGTCCGGCCACCACCGGCCCCGGCACCACAAGCGTCTTCCCAGGGCGGGACCCCCCCGTCCCCGTCCAACCCGCTGGTTCCCCGCTCCCGTTACCTCTGGGGACTCTCAGCCCCCGGTGGGCTCCGGGCCGCCGTGCCCCGACGTCTCGACGCGCGGCTCGGGGCTGCATCCCCGGCTGGGGCAGGCTGCGGAGCAGCCGCGGTGCCGGGCTCCCGGTGCGCGGCCGCGCGGAGGAGCCGCTGCCGCTGCGGGAGGCTCCGCACAGCCCTGGCCGGGTGCGGGGGGGGTGTGTGTGGGTCTGGGGGTCCGTGGGCCCCCCTTGTCCGCCTGCCTCTGCCTTGGGCTCTGTCCCCGTGGACCTGCGGCTGCGGGTGCGGAACTTCGGCTGCCTGCACCGCTCGTGGCGCCCCTGCCAGGCTGCCTGCGAGACCCCTCCCCGCGCTGCCTGTCCTGCCCTGCCCTGCCCTGCCCTGCTGCCTGTCCCGCACCCTCCGCGCTGCCTGTCCCGCACCGCCCGCGCTGCCTGTCCCGCACCCCGGGGCTCGCTGTTCCCCCCCCGCCCGCATCGGTTTCACCGCGTCCCGCTCCTCCCGTAACCACAACATTCACCCTTTAACCCCGCCCATCCACTTCCCATTGGCTATCCGGGCCCCCCCGTGGGCGTGTCCCGCGGAGCATCCTCCTGCGGCGGCTTCCCATTGGCATCGCCCCGCCGCCCGCAGAGCGCCCACGTGGGACGGGGCGGTGGGGGTACCCCGAGGGCGGGGAGCTCCGCAGGGTCCTTGCGCCGCCCGCCCGCGGTGCCGGTGACCCGGGGGACGCAGCCGTGCCGCCGGTCTGAGCCCTCGGGTGCGGGGTCCTTCGGCTTCCCCCGCGCCTCTCCCGCATCAAGCGGCCGCAGCCGGCTGTGAATGCTCCTGCCCGGGACAGGAGCTGAGCGGGAGCGTGGCCGGAGTTAATCCCCCTGAAGAGCACCCCAGCAGGCAGCGTGCGAGTCCAGCGCGGGGACAACGCCGCCAGCCCCAGAGCCGGCCGCAGCTCTGCCCCGGGGACACCCATGGGACCGGGACCCCGCACCCGTGTCCTGCAGGGCTCCATCAGGGGCGGGAGCGGGATGGCCCCGAGCAGCCCCTGCGAGCGGCTTTGCTGGGGCGATGCGGGGTGCTGGGGGCTGAGCCCCGCTGCGGGAGCTGGCGCGGGCAGCAGGGGCAGGCCGGGGCTCGCCGCTCCGTTCCCACCCTACCCTGGCATCCCCAGCAGCGCCAGCCGCCCTCCGCCCTGCCCCGCCGGCCGGGCGAGGCAGGACGGGCCCGTGGATGTAATGACGTGACTGGGCTCAGCCTGCGGGGGGACAGGGCTCCGGGTTCCACATAGGGCAGGGCCCCCCGGGGGGCTGTGCTGGTGGGTATGGCTGGGGTCCCCTCTCCCTGCCCCAGCAGCCAGATGGGACCCGCTGCCACACGCAGTGTCAGCCCCAGAGCCCCATTCGGTGCCCAACCCGTGCCTCAGTTTCCCTGTGCACCCAGGGGAGAGCAGTGGGAGCCGGAGTGGGGCTGCTTGGCACGGATGGGTTTATACCGAATCTGTGGATATTTGTCTGCCGGGCCTGGCCCTGTATGGAATTAATCCTGGGCACGGAGGGGATTACGGGGCCGAGGGCTGCTTTAGCTGCAGAAAGCGGATTAACTGAGGACAGGGAAGTTGGGGACGGGCAGCGGGAATCCCGGGGGCACCTCTGGGGATCTGGGGGGCACATGGGGACAGGAACGCTGCCGGGTGCAGCCAGAGGCAGGGTCCCGGCCATGGCGGGTGCGATGGGGGGGGACTGGGGTTGCGCCCCGCACTGGGGGCACTGGGAGCTGCAGCGCGCATCCGCGGGTGGCACCGGGAGCTGCAGTGCAGGGCGCGCTGGGAGCTGTGACCGGTTCATGGGTGAGTACGGAGGGAAGGGGTTGGGGAGCGGGGAATGGAGGGCACGGGGGGAAACCGAGAGCGGGGGGAGCCCTGGGACCTTGGGACGGTTACTGGGAGCCGCTGCGGGGGCGGCACTGGGAGGTGCGGGAGCACGGGAGGCTGCGATGGTGTCCGGCGGCGCTGGGGGGAGCTCTGAGAGCTGTCGTTGGGCTGGGGATACTGGGAGGTGTAGTCCGAGGGCCTGGTGCGTACTGGGAGGTGTAGTTCTGCACTGGGAGGGTGCAGACCCCATCTCCCCCTGTACTTCCGTGGATGCTCGGCGCTGGCGGAGGGCCCCACACTGATCCCTTCCTCACACATCCCCAGTGCCGCCCCAGCTCTGCAGTGTCCTCCCAATCCTCAGCATCAGGGGGGGACAGGGATGGGGACAGCTGCCCCCGGCCGTGGCTTTGCAGCATGAAGAACGGTGCTGCAAACAGGCGCATGGTGGTGGTGGGAATAAGGCACTGTGGAAATGCCTACAGCACATTCCTGGGTGACACCGGAGCTGTTGGAGCAAGGGGCACTTTGTGAGGCTGAAGCTGGTAGAGCTGCGTGGATTTACCCCACCAGAGATGCTGCCCCAGGTCCTCACTGGCGCTGTGATGGGAGATGCTGCCCCTGGGAACACCCAGGCTCCTGGCACATCATCTGCTTTGTCATTGTCCCACCGCTGCCAGCATGGCATTCCTGCTGGGAGCACAGGGCAGTGACAGTGGGCGACACGGGTCCCGGCAAAGCCTTTCCCCAGGGGAAGGAAGGGGAATGGAAAAGCAGCACCTCACTCACTGCTGCTGAGCTGTTTGTGTCCTCCTTCTTTGATGCTCCAGGATGGCCTCAGGGGCAGGACACAGCTCGGTGCAGCAGCAGAGGAATCATCCATTAATGTCTCCTCTGCTCTCAGGGACACAAAGGACTGCTGTGAACAGGACCACGGAGAAAGCAGCGCTTTTGAGGCTTCCAGACTGATTGATTTGAGTTGTTTTACACCTCGAACAGCACAACTGTAGCCTTGGGAGCAGGCTGGGGCCTGCAGCTCGGGAGCCTCAGGACTGCTCTGCTGAGATGCTGAGGGTGGGCTGGGGACATGCAGGGCTGATGTATGTGATGAGTCATGTGGGCAGCCTCGGGGGATGGACAGAGCCCATCAGGTCCCATTTTAACACTGAGAGACAGCGACTGGTGCAGAAATCAAATCCCATTTTCCTCCCTGAATGAGCATGGCCGAGATCTGTGCTGGCAGCTATAGGGAAGCAGCCCTGTCATGGCCCAGCTGAGACAGGCTATGAATTCGAGACCATTATGCAGGGCTTTTGAGGCTGTGCTCAGAGGGTGCCTCTGACATTTGTTGTCCCTCAGGCTCACAGCTGCTTATTCCCATCCCAGTGCGAGTGAAGAACTGGGCAGGTTCCTTCTGCCTGCCCCTGTTGCTCCGTGCCCCAGAGATGGCTTCTGTGCCCAGGACCTGTCCCTCACTGTGCTCTGGAGGAAAACCTTGCCAGAAGAGAGTCCAAAAGAGCCCTGGGGTCCCCTGGGCAGGGCAGACACCATCGGTCCTGCTCTGCTCTCTTGGGATGTGGTGGTGCAGGAGCCCTCTCTGAGCGTTTTCCAACTTCACCGACGGCACCTGCGCTAAAATCCAGCCTGAAGCTATGTCCCCATTGTATCCTCCAGCCCGGGGGCCAGAGGCAGCGTGCCTGAAGGATGCAGCACACGAGGAAGGAGTTCCCCACATCCCAGCTTGCTTGGGTTGCTTTGATGGGAGGTTGGAAAGAAAGAGGCTGGGGCAGCTCTGCCAGAGCCAGTGTTTCCCAGGCCAGCCATGGGCAGGGACAGAGCATCATTCCCTGCTAGCAGTGACCCCTGGTTTTTGGGGTGGCTCGGGCTGCTCTGGACTTGCCTGGGCTGCACAGGAGTGAAGGGTTAGCCTGGTATGGGCTCTGCCACCAGCACCAGCTCTTGGTTGCTGTGTCCTCACAATGCAGAAGCTCAGTTTTGAACGTGAACCAGCAAGGGTTTAATCCATCAGTGCCTTGTGGTTTATCCACAAAGGGGGGGTTGCTTCCCAGGGAAGTGGGAAGGAAACACCAGCCCCGTTATGGCAGGGGGGCAGCCACCCACAAGTCCCCTGTTTGAGGGTTGTGCACTGGAATGGGTTTACTTCCAGCCGAGCATCTCCATGTCCGAGCTGCTTTAATATTCCACCCGGTGGCCTGAAAAGTGATAACAAACAAGAACCTGCTGCCCATTTGTATTCCCCTCACAGCCATGCCTGCTCCATGGCTGTGCTCTGAATGGGCGCATTCCTCTTCCCCACAGCTTATCTCCGCAGAGCAACCTCTGCGCTCCGACCCGCTTCGGCTCCAAAGCTTTCCATGCTGCCGGCTCGGGGCTGAAATCCCAGATGTCGGCACGGACCCGCTCTTGGTGTCTCAGAGCTGAGTCTTCCTCCCACCCTCCCCATCCCTGCTCGTCCTCCCGGCGGCTCCCTCCCTCCGGCAGATCCAGATTCCCGCAGATCCCATGCCATCCCATCCCGCTGCTCACACAGGCAGCAAACCGGAGTTACCGGCTTCAGCCCGCCACAGCATCTGCTGCTGCTTAAAAACCCCCTCATTTACTCAACCAACTTCCCCGTTGATTTAATGAATGCAAATTGAGACGTGCTAAAACCTCCTTGTAGTGACTGGGACACTGTTGGGGGGGTGTATGTGTGTGTGGGGGGGTTTCCTTGTATTTGCCAGGAAAGAGCTAAGGGGGATTCACAATGGCTGAGGAATGTCCATGGCCCTGCAAGCAGTGAGAGCTGCACAAGCTCTGGTGTCCAGCCATGAGACCAGCCCTGAGGACCAGTGTGGATGCAGGTGCATCCTGACCCCACTCCTCACCAGCCTCGGCAGCACCCTCTGGAGCAGGGCTCCTTGGATTCCTTTGGTGGGTGAGTATATGCTTCATTTATGTGTCGGGTTTTCCATTAGCAAATGGAAGCTTTGCTCTGGGTGCAGTTCCAAAGGAAAAGATCAAGTCTCTCCATCCCCAAAGCGAATCGTTACCATCTGAGTGCTCACCAGTTATCATCTGTAGATCATCAGCTCCAGGCTGCGTTGAGCTGGAAGCCCCCATGCTCAGAGTCACAGGGAATTCATCTCAATGTTGTCACCTCCTCAAGCACCAGCTCCTCCTGGCTGGGTCACTGGGCAGGACTGGGGCTCTGCTGCATGGGCTGGGCCGGGTTGCAGGCAC